CTAACAAGCGGCCCAATCGATCGTCACAACGAGGATAGTTACTGATGATGTGTCGATGATGTGTCGGGCATACTAGTCACATCGCTCCAGTGTGATCACGATCGCCCGTTCGGACGCGAGAATTCAGGTGCGTCCGACGTGCGCTGGTAGAATAGTGGTACCACGTTCACCTCGCGTCCGGAGTTCAACCCCCGGCACAGCCATTGGATATGCACTGCTGATGAGCTCGAATAAGAGCAGAACTCGAATTCAGTGCTTTCCCCCGTTTGGTGTGGACTCACTGGAATAGTTGCGCCAGGACAGGAGTACGACTGTTCAAAACGGGAGTGATGTGAAAGTGAACAATATACCTCCCGCAAACCCCCCTCTCCCATGCATTAAAGGCAAAATTGGTTGTTCTAAGCTACAACAGGCGGAGTGATAGCGATTCTGAGTTAGCATTCGAATTGAGGCGATAGTGTGTAAAGACTGTATTTGCACGTGGCAAGCTGTCGGTTGAATTTCATAGGACATGACTGACAGTGATCTTAGTGTGGATAGGAAAGCAAGCTGAGCAGACATTTTATGGGTTGTGCCTAACGGAAACTGCTATACTTTGCACAATCATTTTAACCGTGTGTTAATTCGTTTTAAGTACGGAAATGTTGCCTTGTATCCATCTCACTCACTAAGAATGCCCATGAAAACGGCATCGGTAGCGAAGTAGCAATCTATGTAGAATAGAACAAATTCACCAAAATTGTAATAAGACGAAAGATAAAGTTAAAGTTGACCGGGTTTGAAGCTAAATAGTTCGTAGATAAACCAACTGAGTAGCTGTTGATTGGCGGATACGATTGCCATACCTGTGCAAGCACACTTTGAAAATGATGAACAAAATGACAAAGTATTCGAGAAATGCACTCATTTGCCGCAGGCAGAAATGCAGAGGCTTGAGTCAGAATGCTGTCCATATTCTGAGTTGCAAGAGAGGCCACTACTATCGAGGTCTTTTTCATTTGTACGGGACCATGTGTCAGTTCCTTACTTTTGTAGAGTCCATCTTCTACGTGAGCCGATCAAGTTGATATCAGACTGGTTTCCTGTAAAATGTGTTACCCCTTTTGTCCACACTTCTTCTCAGTGAGGGGTCAACAATGATAACAAAATTGTAATTCCCTAATTTTGCATTGCTTTACAATTGAAATATAGTGAAAATATTAATGGTTGGATGAAACCTTGGCTAGCTGGTAGTTCCCAAGAATGTCTGTCCTACCTATTCCGTATCCATCAGAAATAATTGTGGATCAGGACATCCTCTAGTCCTCTTCAGTCTGGTGTTCGTCATTGGTAAGACAAATAATGAAAATTTTGGTGATTTCTCCATAAACCATGAAGCTTCATTCAAGCGTTTCAAGTGCCATTTTCAGAGGAGTTTCAGCACATAGAAAACAGCTAAAGTACATTACCTAATTAAGGAAAATTCTGGTCTCCTTGGTACTAAAAAACTAGAGGTAAAACGGTTTTTGCACCAAAACTACAAACTACCGAGTGGAGTGTAATTTGTTTTTCCATTTTTTGTTCAATAGCGTGCACGATCGCTTTGATCGCGATCGTTCGAGCACTGGTTGGTAAATTGTAAATCAGGGTAGTCGAAAAGGTTTTTATTGATTCTGGTATATTTTCGTAGCCTCAGCATCCAAATAGGTCACGAATACTGATCATTCAGTCTAAGCAATGACGCAAACTCAGCACCATCTTTAAATTTTGAAGAAAAACAAGTTGACGGAAACTCGGGGACTGCGCCTACCTGATGAGCTCCAAGAAGGGCGAAACCGGTCGTGGGGTGTCGAAGAGTTTTCAGCAAACTTGTGAGTAGTTTCCTTTGTGAAAAAAAGGTTGAAAACAGGTTAATCAATAAACCGTGGGGTTGCGAAAAATAAAAGTACATTAACCCTTGCCTGGATGTATTCCAAGCGAGTTTAGACACAACACAACGCTTTTGCTATGATGTGAAGAATGCTTAAAGTAAAATGCACCGCGATAAGTGCTACACACAGAATACCTAGCCGTCTATCAGGCCGCATTTTCTGGCGGCTTGGATCTATCGATTCACATGGGAGCTATGGTCCTCAAGAGGCTGGCTTTCAAACAGAGTAGGCGAGATTGTAACCAAATTACCGATGACGCCATGGAAACCTGCTCACTACGGGCAGTACGTCTCGAATAACTCTCTGTAATATACCTATACTTTTTTCGGTTATCAGCGTCGCCATCGATGTTCACCGACATATTTGTGGGTGTACCTTGGTTGCTTCGGGAATTAGTCGGATTTCGTTAAAAGCTTTGCTGATGTTCCAGTGGTATTCTATCGTCTTTTGCCCATCTGATCAGTTGCTTTAAGTTAGCACTCGGTTTGTAAGCTATCAGATTTTCTGTTTAGGGTTTAGCGAGCCTTCCACCAAACCAAAACCACTTGAGTTGAACAGACTGGTGTAGAGTTTTGGATGACCCTTCCACAAAAAACAACAACAAAAGCGTTCACTTGCTTCGTTTGTTTTCCTAATTGCTTCTGAGAAAAAGCATAATAGAAATGAGGGAATCTGGGTTCGTTTTATCGACCGGTATTCATTCAGGGAAGCGGAACAATGGGACAAGACCGGATTTACAGTTCTGTTCCACAGATTAACTCTAAATGCTCCAGTGATTAGAAACGACACAAGGCAAATGCATTTATTTTATGTTTTGGCCCAAATGTGGACTTGAGCATACGTGAGCGCGATTAGAGTGAATGGTGAGTGTCCCTATTAATGGATAAAGCAGTTATTAGTCGTTAGACAAGAAACTAAGCATCTCATATACACATATTCTTGAAAAGCTGGACATTATCTCGCTTCTCCTTGAACTTTCCTGGATATTCATTGACCATTACACCGGGGTGAACGGACACTGCAAAGCAGTTCCAAAATTTCCCTAATAAACTCTACCTTGGATCAGATGCGGAGTCGGAGCTTGTACACCAAACCATAGACTACTCGCATACTCCATCAGTAGTATGGAACAACACACCGGGAACCGGGCACTGTTTATATTTTAAGTCTGAACATTTGCTACAGAACGCTTCAATTTTTTAGCCACACCTCAGAACTTATAACGGCAACTGTGTGGATAATTATTTCAATTCAGCGTCTTAGACAGAAACTTACTTATAAGTTCAAAATCTTAGTATCGTGTATCGAAAAATTTGTCAAACTATTCCGGTTAGCGGAGGTTATACTGGTTGCCTTATTAGTTCGTATTCATCTCGATTCAGTTCAGTTCAACGCGGAAAACTCTGAGCTGGAACTTCTCGCCTTTTAGAGCTCGGCTGCAACGCACATCCTCAAATGGACATCTGACGTGCGCGGGGTGAAATTGACACCACTGATAATGCAGCATAGGCGGGGTCGCACTTGAACCGTCACTTCTGGATAGGTGAATGCGTTCACTCTTATGACCGGTTGGCCTGACTACAGAGTAGGTGACCTGACCATGGAGATCGACAGATTCGTTGCCAAAGCTTCTGAACCAGGTCTGTCTGGAACCTGTTTTTCACTTAAGTTGGGATGACTATGATCTCAACGAGTGGCCATCGTCAATTCTCACGTTCATTTATTTCGCTAATAGTGTAACGGTGATGCTACTGATCGGGAGGCACGCGAGTAGTATGTGTTGTTCGTAGAATTTTGCTTGCGTCGACTGAGAAATGCAATTCTGTTGCGGAATTCGCGGGGCCACTTTATAACATTTGCTTTTATTTGACCGTCGAATGATTGGAGGCAATGAATCTCCAGGAAGAGTCGTTCGGGAGAAGATCTGTGTCCAGTTTTTGTAACTAAGATGCAGAATGGAGTTTTGCTTCCCTGTTCAATGGTCTGTAACCGGTCAGTTGGCATTTCCGAATAGATAACTCGGCAGCGAATGCCTTCTTCCTTTCAGTAGCTGTGCTCAAACTTTGGCATTTATCCTTGTTGACTGGCTTCAAATTCCTACTCTTTTACGTTTATATATAATATATGTTCTTTCGATGCTGTCACCTACAGGGAAGTTGATGACTTCGCTGCTAACAGTCCATTGTGATTGAGGATGCCTGACATCCGTAGGAACGGTCGACATGCAGATTACTCATATTTGGGCTGTAACTCTACAAGTGGTATACAGACAGCATTCACTGACATCAGAGGTTTCGAAGCTGGCCACTCGAATTCTGTTCACCCAGGTGTTTCCGCTTCTCAGTTTGGTAAGCAGAGTGAGCTAAACACTACTGGAAGTTCTGCTTACCAGGGGCTCGAGACGGCTGCACTGTGCACCAAAAACCGAAGTGGACCGGAGCCAATTTTTTGCAAACAAAGTGCGTTGACAGGAATTCACTTTTTCTGCTCGAGCAGAATAGGTACTCTCGATCAGTGGACAACTGAACAACAGATAATCAAGCAAACTTCCGCTTCCAAAGATGTTAGGCGGAATTCCAAACGGATCCCCCTTTACCGCTCGCAGCCAGGTGCTGCTACGGCCGAAAAGTCTATTCCACGCAAGACTGGCTAAAACATCGGAATGCTTGGCTGTCCGGCACCAAGCCGAGATCGGATTGGTCAAAAGTCTGGACCCAACAGCCAATCATAACCCAGTATTGGCCGAATGCCGGTTGCCAATGACGCATCCAGATCGCGTCAGAATTTCCAGAAAGTTATTGCCACCTACGCTATAAATATGAAGCACTGTATAAGTGTTCCTGACTTCGTTTTGGACATTAATATACGTTGTGCAACTTTGGTGGTTGTTTTGACGTGAACGCTAGGCTTGGGAGGCTCAGACCGAGAACTAAGCTGAGAAAAAATATCGTTTATACAAAAGAACACTCGAGGAGATTTACAATTGTGTGTCGTCTGAATTCTCTTCCAAGCTGATCTTGCAGCTTGGCGAAACTTTCCACTGGTGGTCTGGAGCCCGGTGTACTTGAGCAGCGCTAGCCGAAAGGAACAGGGAAACGACTGTGGAGAGCTTGTACAGAGTTCACACACTTATTGAACTGAAAGTAAACTAGAAATTAAAAACAGAATTATCGTTCGTAGATCGGAAGTTCAGCATCCATTCCCTGTTTATATTTAGCCTCTAGAGCGAATCACAGTTCACTCTTCCCCCACCTCAGTAGTCCTTGGGAAGTGACACTAAAATAGGGGTAGGGCATATAGTCAAAGGGTTTCTATAAATAGCTAAAATCGAACATATGCTGTGCAGAAAAAGGCGACTGTGTTGTGTGACATTCCACAGTCCTCGGTGAATTTAAATTGTATATAACCATCACACGCTACTTGCGAGTAACATGGTTCTTCACAAAACACTATACTAGAAATTAAAAACAGAATTATCGTTCGTAGATCGGAAGTTCAGCATCCATTCCCTGTTTATATTTAGCCTCTAGAGCGAATCACAGTTCACTCTTCCCCCACCTCAGTAGTCCTTGGGAAGTGACACTAAAATAGGGGTAGGGCATATAGTCAAAGGGTTTCTATAAATAGCTAAAATCGAACATATGCTGTGCAGAAAAAGGCGACTGTGTTGTGTGACATTCCACAGTCCTCGGTGAATTTAAATTGTATATAACCATCACACGCTACTTGCGAGTTAACATGGTTCTTCACTAAAAAAACACTATCCATCACACACTTAGCCTAACTTGACCATGATGATTCGTTAATATTGTTTGACACGTGTCATATGCTTGTACAATTTCCCGGTGAGATTTTGTCCTGTCATTGAAGCACTGTACAGATGTTCCATCCTTATGCGCACCAAGAACAGGTAACCTCCCGGCCAGCAGTTTGATCACTTCATCGTTGAGCCAAAAGCGCCAGGATAGCAGCGTCATTATCCCTCATCTTGTGTGATCGCTTGTAAAAATGTTATTCCACGAGACTTTTTCCCAGAAGATGAGGTGCGATTGTATCCGGGCTCGTCACATCATCCAGAAAAATGGTAAGTGACAGTTTTGTTTCAAAATGAGTTATTTATGGTTTACGTCTGGCGATGTTTGGAGAAGGTGTTCTTCCACAAAGTGGGGCCTGCCGTAGCCATTATTAGATTTTACTCGTTCGTTGTTCATACTGAAACAATGAATTGTCGCTGACAAAATCTGCGATCACCATTCACTCCGAAAACCACCGACAGAAAGCAATACTTGAAAACTGAGGAATGAGTTCTGCGCCGGGAACGTTTGATTAAAGATCCATCCAGATGAACAATAAATTGAGAACATGCAAAATGAATGAGTTTCACTCACCCCCCTCTTTAGTACGAGTTCAGATCCCGAGGACTGGATTTCATGTGAATGCAAAGGAACAGACCAGTGGAATTTCATGGAAAAACATAAATATGAGAACCGCCAACCCCTTGTGTGCCACAGAGTTTGTTGCATGTGCAGGGCACATTTTACGGACTGCATCAAGAGGATTGAAATGCACGTGAAACTGTGGGTGTGATCGATGTTCCTAAACGCATTGAAATCCGACTCTAAACTGGACGGTTGAAGTTCCAACGAGTATGGTGTCCTGGGCTGGTAGTTAATGGTGGTGAGTTTATATTCTGGGCTGTCTAGTAAAACTGCACCATCCCCAAAGTTGGTTTCACTGCGGGGGCACATCACCCAGCTTCGTGACAACAGAGGTACTCTCAAGAACAAGAACGGTCTTTCCGCCCTGGTATAAACGTACCAACAAGAGGTATGAGACAGCTGACATAGAATTACCGGAGTCACTTACCTTCTTGACTCCTACTTGGTCCAATTGGTACCTACCTTTGAATGGTCGCACCTCAGTTCTGTGAGTGAATGACCGCACCGCACATGCAATGGCTAACAATCAGCGTCAATCACGCTTTCATTTGCGCGCTGTTTCCCGTGATGGTTTCTCCATGGCTGGCCGAGTTCGGCAAACAGACCAATAGTCAGCTGATCCACGACCAACTGTCCTCATTTTCGGACTTTTGAAAAAAGTCGCTCTTTGCTGGAGAACGGAAGGGCTAAAATTATCACTACAATCCTATTTTGGGACGAAGGATGCGGCTTACGTAACGACCAAAATGTGTAGTTTGCCAAGTAATCGAAAGTGGTTCTTTTTTGGGTAGGAAATACCATTTCCGAGGGAAATGAGCTAGTCAAGAGCAGTAGACAAATGGTCTGTGGTTTTACTCGATATAGGCGAGTAAGTTTGGATGATTTCATCGGAGGACTTCATTGAAGGCAGTTCGTCTGGACACACTGACCCGACAGAACGAGAATAAAGAGGAGGACAGAATGAACGTCCAGGAGCCAAATGACACGTAAATTTTGGCTAGCCGGACATTGCATAGGAAGACTTTGAAAGTAGCATTGCCCCAAGAGGATTCTCATCAATTCAGTCTCGTGTATAAAATGTCGTTAAAGGTAATCACTTCCCCCGATCGATACACATATATTCAAGAGTCTTGTTATTCGTCACACTGGGGACGGACACTCGCAGGCCCAGATGAACCTACGAGTTGGACTGCGGGCAGTTGGTCAGTTCACCTCTTCTGGATAACTACAGTCGACTAATGCACTTACGAAGAACCAAAGTTAGAACGGGTCTGACAATGCACTCTGAGTTTATCTTAAGTGTGCACAAAAACCGAAAACGAATCGGTTCAGGGAACTTTTTGCTTGCATCGCGTGTCTGACTATCGCCAATGTGTTGCCATAATAGCCAACTGAATAATGCTGAGAGGTCGATTCGTGGGCGAGCAAACACCAAGTTACTTTGCAGCTAGGCGTACAAAATTAGTTTGAGTGGTAAATAAGCTTTGAAAGCGTCGGAAACTACGGCCACTTGATGAACCCCAAGAAGGACGTGGGTTGTCCAAGGGTTTTCAGCAACCTTATGAGCAGTGCTCATTCAAGAATAAAACAATGCTTTACATTCACTGTCTACGTATGTAAAGCGCTGGTTTAAGGGCCGTCCCAGAAGAGGAACTTTTGTTAGCATCATTACAGCATTATTGTCGACGAGAAACCGCAGACTGACCTGAANCATTGCCCCAAGAGGATTCTCATCAATTCAGTCTCGTGTGTAAAATGTCGTTAAAGGCAGTCACTTCCACCGATCGATACACATATTCAGGAGTCTTGGTATTCATCAAACTGAGGACGGACACTCGTAGGCCTGGAAGAAACTGCGAGTTGGACTGCGGGCAGTTGGTCAGTTCACCTGCTCTGGATAATCGACCAATGCACTGGCAAAGAACCAAGCTTAGAACGGGTCTGACAATGCATTCTGAGTATACCTTAGGTGTTCACAAAAAACCAAAACGAATCGTTCCAGGGAAGGTTTTACTTGCATCACGTGTCTGACTATCGCCAATGTGTTGCCATAATAGCCAAATGAATAATGCTGAGAGGTCGATTCCTGGGCGGGTAAACACCAAGTTACTTTGCACTAGGCGTACAAAATTAGTCTGAGTGGTAAATAAGCTTTGCAAAGCGTCGGAAACTACGGCTACTTGATGAACCCCAAGAAGGACGTGGGTTGTCCAAGGGTTTTCAGCAGCCTTATGAGCAGTGCTCATCCAAGAATAAAACAATGCCTTACATTAGCTGTCTATGTATGTAAAGCGCTGTTTTTAGGGCCGTCCCAGAAGAGGAAATTTTGTTAGCATCATTACAGCATTACTGTCTCGTAGAACACCCAGTCGACGAGAAACCGCAGACTGACCTGAAGCTACAGGTTACGTAAGCAATTCCTTAGCGTTTACGCTTTGCACTGGTATAGG